GCATTGTGCCTCCCGATCGGTCTCAGAGTGGTTTCTACTCCAGGTACTTCCTGGTCCCGAAGCGGGGAGGGACCGGGATTCGCCCGATCCTGGATCTGAGGGCCCTGAACCGATGCCTCAGAAAGTACAGATTCAAAATGCTCACGCTCTCATCCCTTTTGCGTCTGATTCACCAGAGCAACTGGTTCACCTCAATCGACCTGAGGGACGCATACTTTCATGTTCCCGTGTACCCTCCACACAGGAAATTTCTGAGGTTTGCCTTTCAGGGAGTGTGTTACGAATACACCGTGCTCCCATTCAGCCTCTCGCTGAACCCGAGGGTGTTTGTCAGGTGTACGGAGGCGGCGATCGCCCCTCTGAGAGGGAGGGGCATTCGGCTGGCCACGTATTTAGACGACTGGCTCCTGCTGGCACGGTCCAGAGAGGAGACAGCGTCAAACACGCTGGTTGTGATCCCTCACTTGTGTGGTCTGGGTTTCAGAATAAACTGGCAGAAAAGCGCTTTACTCCCCTCCCAGAAAATAACCTTTCTAGGTCTGAATCTGGACTCAGGGGCGTTCACGGCCCGTCTCTCTGCATCGCGCGTGAACGCGCTCTCGTTCTGCCTGGCGCGCTTCCGCCTACACAGTTCGGTGCGGTTTGCGTTATGCCTCAGGCTTTTGGGTCTCATGGCATCGGCTATTTCAGTGGTACAACTCGGCCGTCTACACATGAGAGATTCTCAACGCTGGGTGGCTTCTCTGGGTCTCTCTCCAGTGCGCCACAGAGCGCGCAGGGTGACGGTCTCTGCAGCGTGCGTCGCGGCGCGCCGCTGTTGGCGTCACCCCTCCCTCTTGGCACAGGGGGTGCCTTTGGGGTTGGTTCTCGTGAGGAAAGTGGTCACGACAGATGCGAGCCTGTCAGGTTGGGGGGGGCTCCTGGAGGGTCGCTCTGTCAGGGGTGTGTGGAGCAGAGAGCTCTGGGGGGGACACATAAATTATCTGGAACTCCTCGCGGTCTTTCTGGCCCTGAGGCGCTTCCTGCCTTTTCTCTCCGGCCATCATGTCCTAGTGAGAACAGACAACACCATGACTGTGGCTTATATAAACCACCAGGGGGGGCTGCGCTCCATGCGGTTACACACGCTGGCACGCAGACTGATCCTATGGTGCAGCAGGCATCTCCTCTCAATCAGAGCCACCCATGTCCCGGGTGTTCTGAATCGGGGGGCGTATCTGTTGTCCAGAGGGACACCCCTGTACGGGGATTGGAGCCTGCATCCAGCAGTGTTGGAACAGATTTGGATCCGGTTCGGCACAGCCGTAGTGGATCTTTTTGCCTCCAAGGAGAATGCTCAGTGTCCTCTGTTCTTCTCCCTGTGCGACCGAGACGCTCCACTCGGCGTGGACGCACGCGCTGGCGCACGACTGGCCACGGGGACTGCTTTACGCTTTTCCCCCAGTGGCCCTGATACCACTCACCTTGCTGAGGGTACGAACCCAGCACCACACTCTCATTCTGGTGGCCCCATACTGACCAGCCATGCATTGGGTGGCAGACATTTTCCAGCTCCTGGAGGGCCAACCTTGGAAACTTCCGCTTCGCAGGGACCTGGTGTCCCAAGCGGGAGGCTCGATCTTCCACCCTCATCCAGAACGGCTGGCCCTGTGGGCCTGGCCCCTGAGGGGTGCGGGCTAGTGTCAGCAGAGCTGCCCCAGGCAGTCATTCGAACCATTCAGAATGCTAGGGCCCCCTCCACTAGGTCCCTATATGACTGTAAATGGAGGGTGTTTGAAGCCTGGTGTCAGGGCAGGGAGGTCTCACCCTTCCAATGCGCGGTGAACGTCATTCTGTCTTTCCTGCAAGACTTGTTGGATGGGAAGAAGGCTTTCTCCACCATTAAAGAGTACCTAGCAGCCATTTCCGCCCGACACTTGGGTTTTGGGAAGAAACTGGCAGGTCAACACCCCCTGGTGTGTAGCTTCATGAGGGGCGCGCGCAGGCTTCTCCCTGTGTCTCGACCCCTGGTGCCCTCATGGGATCTGTCCTTGGTGCTGTCGGCCCTCTCCGGGCCTCCATTTGAACCTATGGACGGCCTGGACCTTAAGATCCTGTCTCTTAAGGTGGTGCTACTCCTGGCTTTGGTATCTGCAAAGCGAGTTAGTGACTTACAGGCTCTCTCTGTGCACCCATCCTGCACCCAGTTTGCACCAGGTGACATGAAGTTGTCCCTGAAGCCCAACCCTGCCTTTGTGCCTAAGGTAGTGGGCTCCTTTTCTCCTATTATCCTCACAGCTTTCTACCCGCCACCCTTCTCCTCTCCTGAGGAGGAGCGGTGGCACAAGCTGTGTCCGATTCGCACGCTCAAGGAGTATGTGAATCGGACGGAGAACCTTCGCAGGGGGGACCAGGTTTTTGTGTCATGGGGTGGGCCTCGTAAGGGGAAACCCGTCACAAAGCAGAGGCTTTCCCACTGGATTGTGGAGGCTATTTCTATGGCTTACTCCTGTCAGGGCATTCAGGCTCCTGTTGGGCTCAGGGCCCATTCTACTAGGGGCCTGTCTGCTTCTTGGGCCCTTTTTCGGGGGCTGTCAATCCAGGAGATTTGTGCTGCAGCAAGTTGGGCTTCTCCACTTGCATTTGCACGCTTCTATAAGCTTGATGTTTCAGTCCCTGCAATGACTCACACGATTCTGAGTGTGGGGTCTTTGGCGGGCCAAGACGTATCCCTGTAGGTTGGTGATCGCTGGATAAGCTGTCTGGCAAAACGGGAGTCTCCATATCCCATAGTGAGACATCGAAACGAATGTTAAGAAAGAGAACTTTAGGTTACTGTCGTAACCCCGGTTCTCTGAGTAACATGAGTGAGATGTCTCACCAGACAACCCTTCTTGCTGGGCGAAGCGAGAAGAGGTGTTTATCTTGAATAGTGCATACGTTGGGACGCTTGCTACTTATAGTAGCAGGGGGACGCGTACGTCACGGTCACTGGCCAATCAGGATTGGCGTATTGAGATAAGTGCTTCTGAGGAATCCACAGAGGGGCGTATCCCATAGTGAGACATCTCACTCATGTTACTCAGAGAACCGGGGTTACGACAGTAACCTAAAGTTTTCCTCTGAGTCATTCTCCATAAAGACATACAATTTCCCCACTCTAGAGTGTAGTGTAGTGCCTTTGATGTGGAATAAACCATTTAAAAAAATATATAGTGTGACTCGTCTATTGCTTTAAATGTACATTTCATTTTGAAGTGTGTTTCTGTGTAAAAGTAATAAATTCCTATTTTACTCTTCCGGGACTGCATTTTTACTCAGAAATATAAAAAGGTCCTTTAGGATTGATGAGCTAACAGCTAGTGCTTTGACTAGCTGTTGGCTCGTCAATCCTGCAGGCTGTATAATCAGTAATGTAGTAATTAAATCTTTTACACAAAATACATGATGCCATAAAAACTTGTTTGAGGTGAAGAATTAAACTAACTAATGAATAAAAGTCTATAGTTTTTCTTTTAAATAGTTAATCTTCCAGGCAAAGAAATAAGAAAATCAAGTATCAGATCCGACCACCCAGCTGTGGGACTGATGTAAGAGTTTAGTAGTTTATTTTAGGACAAGTGAAGCCAAACAAACTAGTTTAGCTACTCTCTGAACTCCTGATGAGGAACTAAAACACACACTAATTGTTCATTTCTGCCAGGATAAAGCGGTATAAGAATATAAGGACCAAAAGCTTTGTTGTCTCTTTAAAGATTTAAAAAAAAAGGTAGAATTAAGTCCGTGTTAGTTTAGTAGAAGCAGTACAGCGAGTGTCAGACAAGATGAAATAACGTGTTTAGAGTTTAGCGAGGTGCCATCCAAGAACGCCATCACCAGTAAGCAAAGGAGACAGGCAGAGCGTGTTTAGAAGTGAGCTGGCACCCGCGGCGCTGCTCTGGTGTATCTCAACCCTGCAGCTTCATTTCGTTTCAGACTCTAACTGCCTCCAGCATCAACAGTAAACCTCCTGACAATTCCCACATGAAAGCAACAAGCACGCCATCTGATACAGGTTTCAGATTCCTTCCTTTCAGTCTCCTCCTGTTGGAGGACTTGCCTAAAAGCGTCTGGAAAGCTAACAAACTCCTAACACAGAAGCTAAAGAAACGTTTCCCATTCTCCCTGGTTTGCATCTTTGTCCACCGATCTGGCGACGTGCTCCCGCCTTAATTTAGCATCAAATTGGACCCTAAACATCCCACCAGAAACATCTGACGGATTTTATCTTTTGCACCTGGAACGTCAGAAACAAATCCTGATCTGGAATCATTTTCATCCAAACTGGGGAACAATGAGGAAGTAAATGAGTTGTTTGTGGATTAAGAGGAGAGTTTTTCTAGCTGTGAGTGGAAAACAAAACTAAACATAATGGGCTCTTCGTTTACCCACGCTCCCGCTCCGCATAAAGATTCATAACACTGGGAAGGAGCTGAAAACATCCCTCCCTCTCTTGTTCTTGGCAGGGGAAGAAAGTGGCAACGGATAAAAAAACCTCTACAGATGGTTTTTGAAGGTCCTCACCTGCTGAATTCCCTTCTATTAGAAGATTTTAAAGCTTTTATTGGTGGTTTTTAATCAGAAACTTAAAGTCTGAACTTTTTTCGTACTTTTCAAGGTGACTTTCTGTGTTTTTTTTTCAGGCACCGGGAGCATCAGATTGCTTTTCCATATTTCTCCAGACATTCCGAACCTGAGAAGGAGCCCCCTGTCTAATAAAAAGTTTTCCTCTCAGTCCGGCCCTCCCCTCGCAGACAGACAACCTGCCACCGCTGAGGGGGACGGGGTTGGAAACGTGCGTCATAAAAACACACATATGGTGTGGTGGTAGTTTCTGTGGGAAGAACACGCTGTTCCGTTACCTGCCGTGGGAATTCAAGGGCATCCTGTGAAGTTTTAAAACAAATCCAGGGTTTCCCAGTGACCCTCGATGGATAAGACCTTTCTCTTCTGTGCTTGTGTTTGACAACGGGTCGTTTTACCTGTCAGAAGGCCGAAGAAGCGCTTGCAGCGCAGGCTGTCCCTCACGAGGAGCGTGTAGGCCACACCTCCTTCTCCAAACTCCATGTGGATGCTCTGTGAGCCCAGTCCCACCTCCAGGTAGCTGAGATCCACAATAGGGTAGCTTTCCTTCTTCTGCAGCCAATCAGAAAGCGGGTTCCTGCTGGAGGGGGAGAGGAAACAGTTCTTCGGAATGGTCAAAATGCTTGACTGAAAATGTTTACATTCAGGAAAAGAAACACTTTTCCTCCAAATTTTCTCATTAACGCCAGGGACACACCGGCCGCGGAAGCGCCACGAAAATGGGACCGCCTTCATTCGGCGCCCTTGTTAAGCTATTCTATAGACCACATAGGCCGCCGAAGCGCCGCGAATCGCCTCGCGCCGGCGCTCCAGCCCGCGCCGTGCAGCGATCATTTCGGCGTTGGCTCTATTTTTTTCGCGAGCCGCAGGTGAATCGCGTCAATTCTGGCAGGAAGTCAAACTACACATAAGAGGCAGGCCGGTAACGTTAACAAAATAAAGCATTTCAAAATAAAATTCCGCAATAGTCAAATGTGTTCGTAATCAGACACTGCAGAAAACCCACACGAACACACACACACATACACACACCTCGAACTTGTGTGCGTGTGTGAGCACGTGAAGGGGGGTGTGGTTTTGGGTGTCTTTTCACTGGAGCAAACAGGACAGAGGGGCAGAAAGTCTGAGGCAAGCAGTTAAGATGGATGACTTTAACTTAATTATGGAAGTTGAGAAACACAAGGAGCTGTACGACCCCCGAAAAACATGTTTATTTACGTACCCATTTCTGAATAAACTGCTAGGATACAGCTGCAGAAATGGAGCGGGTTCCAAGAGATTCAACTGGCAGAAACAACTCATACCATAGGTTCACACACACACACACACACACACACACACACACACACGTACAAACACTCAAACGTAGAGGAAAAGAGCTGAGAAAAGGCAGAGAGGAAATGGAGGACACCAAGTGTTTAAAAGAAAAACTACAGCTGAGCCGAGGCGCGCCTCGACTGGGGCGCGTCTGATCTGAACTAAGGAGCAGCGAGCAGCGGCCGAATTTCGTGAGCAATTCGCTTCTCTGCGCTTCGCAGTGCTTCCGCGGCCGGTGTGTCCCCGGCGTAAGACAGTGAAGGGAGAGAGTATTTGATTTTATGGGTTTTGAAGGTGTGACTCAGAAATCTGAGCAGGTTATGTAATATCATATGCACTCAGGCGCCACCTTTTGCATCACTGTCTCCTTTTGGCAACAACTGCCAAATCTGTAGGGCTAGCAATCCTCTTCCTAACCTCCTCCACCAGCTCCTACTGTCATTCCCAACCGGGCCAGCCTAGGGATACAATCCCTTGAGAGTCCTGGTTCCTCTTGCTTTAAAGGTGCAGTAGATGTTTTTCTGGAGCTTGATGCTCTTTACCAACTGATGGCAACCAACAGCTGAGATGTTTTGTCCAAAAAAATTGAATAATCCCTTTTGTGAAGGTCCTGTTCTTAATGACTGAACAATAACCCATACATCAAACTGTCCTGACCGTCCCTTCCCCCTCTGTGCAGGAAGTTCACGTCCTCAGCTCGGGACGGCTGAACCGAGAGAGATGCCAGAGCCAAGCTAACTATGTTAGGGTTAAGTCGGGCAGACGCTGTGCAACTTTTTCACATTTGTGTGCGAGAATCCACAAGATTGATGCAAGTTCTGCGCCGAGCATCGTGTAGTATACAGGGGGTTACGAGAGGCGATTAACACCACGTGACCAGCTATGGATTTCTAGCGTGTTTGATATTTTGCTCGTCCCTCCTGAGCACATCGAACTGTTGAAGCGAAGCGGCGCTGCGAGCGGCTGCGACCCAAAAAGCACCAGAACTGCTTACGAGCGTCAACACCGCTCGCCAGCTATTTTCCTATTAACACAAGTCGGTCGTTTTTATTTCTTCACTTTTTTTACGCACACAATGACAAGGATTGTCAAAAAAGCGCGTTTGCCGTGTTTATGTCAAATTAAACTGATCACAAAACACTGATTTAATTCCTTTCTTACGTCTTCCTCACCCAACCTCCATAACTCCCCGTGTGTCCTACAGCACTCCCAAAGGACAACAGACCTCAATAACACATAAAAAGTCTGATGTGTCGTGTAAAAACTGATATTTTTAGCATATTTTAAGGTCCGACGTGTTCTTACCAAACGTACGGTGAGAGCACACGACTGGTGAGGTTTGCTCTGCAAGGAAGTCGAACAGTGTCTGCTCGGCTTTAGGGTTAAAACCAATACACTTAAAAAATCCAAACTCCCTTCCAATTTAAAAACTTAATTATAAGACAGTGAATATTTATGTCAAAAGAACTGAAAAATCCCTTTCAGATCCTATAATTCCCAAAATTACTCACTAAGAGATAAAGGGTAGAAAAACAAATTTACTTACTGCATATCTGATGACATTTCAAGAAAATATATCCGCTGGTTCGACACAACCAGCAGCGAAGGAACCTCCCCCACCTCCCCAAATGTTACAGCCGACATCTGAAAAAAAAGAAAAAAAAAGGGATGAGAAAAATAAGCAAAGGGGCTGCATTGGATTTCTAATGATATGATAAATAATGGCTGCTTTTATGAGTGGTAAATGTTTTTATTATAAGCCTCATTAAACTATAATTTTAAACACCAAACCATTAACATCTGTATTTTCAGATGACACAACTTTTCCCTTCTGGGTTTTAAAAACAAACCTCATTCATTTCCCCTCAATTGACCCAAGAAAAAGGAAAGAAAAAAGTCCACAAGTGAGATTCAGGGCAGCCGCGGTCAGCGGAGAAATATGCAGAACTAAGATGAATGGAGCGAGAAATCCCATTTCCAGCTGTGGTTCTGATCAGCAGCTCGATGCTTCTCGTCCAGGTGTCTCACGGAGAAAAGAACTCGCCTGCTGGTTTGAAACATTTCCACTGAGCATCACGTTTTTATAAAACACAACAGGGAAGCTAAACCTATTCCAAAAGACAGGAAACAATACACGAAACGACCATTAAGACATCTGTGTTTTGTTCTGACAAACCTTCAGGAAGGAGTGAAGTTCCTCGTCCTCTTCGAAGACCTCCACTTCTAAGAAAAGCTTGAGGCGATGGTCCACGGCCTCGTAGTCCTCGGAAAGAAGATCCAAATCATCTATGGACAGAAGGTCTGGATTGAAACAGTTCTACACCCGAAAATAATATCACACATCTTGTGTTTGGATGGAAATGAGCGGAAAACCGTTGAAATGTAACTACTGATCAAAAAAGCTGCAATATAAATTCAGTATTTAACATAATTTATATATCGGTATTTGTTTTATATTGGCATACTTAATACTATACATTTTGTATGTACTTGAGGGACTTTTCGGACTTTTGATTTTTATGCTCGCTATTGCCCCCTCAGGCCGAAAGCGTAACGGAATCTTCAAAAGTAAGCTCGTGCACGAGGCGCGCATGCTGTACGTGCACACTCCTTAACGAAAATAACAGCTGAGACAGTCCCGTGTGTGTGTGTGTGTGTGTGGCCCGGAGGACAGAAGAACACAGCAAATTAATAAAAATAATGTGCCTCTGTCTCTGCAGCTGCATTTTCTCGTCGGCCGGCCGGCCGAACGTGTGTGTGTGTGTGTGTGTGTGTGTGTGTGTGTGTGTGTGTGTGTGTGTGTGTGTGTCTATGCACCAGTAACATTCATTCTATCTGTAACTTTTATATCCTTGATAACAGCTGAAACAACGTCAAACCAAAGAACGGTTTGAAGTGAAAATGGCTATTTTACTGCTAATTTGCAGGAAATATCTAGAAGAAAGTTCTACAGAAAGTAGCTAAGGGTCCTGAGAAGTGTAGCTAGGTTCATCACTAGGCGTTAGGAATAGCGACCAAAGTCGCTGAGTTGGCACTGCCTCTCTCTCTGCTGCTAAAGCTACTGATAGCAAATGCTACGGGCTATGCCTGAGCGTGAACGCGCATGAAGCAGCCTGCTCGACCCGAGCATCTCTCTTTTTCTGTGATTTTACAGAAAAACAGGCAATCACAGTAAAAATGCCAGGGCTCATTCTACAGGACCAGGGCATTGCAGGAGAATGTATGAAGAAGACATTATTTATATACATGTTTTGACCGTCAAAACTTCCTTATAGTCCCTTTAAATAAAATGAATATCAAATATCATAGAATAATAGATATCCTCGATTTATCACATGTATACAATATACCTAATCTACTCAATATATCGGTACCGGGTATCGGTTTTGATTAAATAATTATGAAGATTGCAATGTGATGATCCAACAAACCTCCTTTAGGTTGCTCTAATCCCTTGCAGGAATAAAATGTGTCGGTTTAGGACAGGCGTGGGGAACCCTGGTCCTCGAGGGCCGGTATCCTGCATGTCTTTGCGCCAACACTTCTGATTCAGTGGTTGATTCACCTGTTCAGCAGCTCATCAGGCTCTGCAGAAGCCTGTTAATCACCTGCTGATTGAAATTAGGCATGTTGAAGCACGGTTGAAACTAAAATATGCTGGATAGCGGCCCTCAATGGACCAGGGTTCCCCACCCCTGGTTTAGGATAAGAGTCCAAATCGTCCAAACTGCTGGCACTATTTCTCCACTCAAGACTTTTACGTTTTATTTTCCTCAAACATGATGTACAAAATAACTTGATATATTGTAGTTATTTAACACAGGAAGTGTAAAATACTTGACATATTTATGTCCATTATATTTATAAAAGTCAATAATGCTAGACATATTAAATGGGAACAATGTAAAGTTAAGTAGAATGACATCCAGTGGTCAGATTTTGGTACTGTAGTCTATTTTCTAAACAAAAAGTTACTTCATGGCCGTTGCCAGTTACAGATCAACACCAGAAGATTCTAGATAACAAGCAAAGTCATTCACATTAAGTTGATAAGTACATGAATACATCTTCATATCTGGTGTTTTCACTCTTTGGTGTTTAAAGGACAGGGATCACTTACTACAGTACACTTATTACAGTAATAGGCCTCCAGCATAGAGAAAGTGTTCAATTCAATTCAATTCAAAAATACTTTATTAATCCCAGAGGGAAATTGATTGCTGTAGTAGCTCAGGATAATAATAATAATCAAGTCGTCAAAGACTTATTGTATATTACAATGTTGTTGTTTACGGTCCTGCTGTTATAGCTCAGAATCGCTCATTTAAGAGTTAAATGCCGCTATTGACTTATTCACTCAAACACACATTTCACAGTAATATTGAGTTCTTGGTAACTGATACAATAGCTTAGATAGAGATATTTTCACAGCTGACTACTTCTTATTCACCGTTAGCTTTGTTAGCTCAACCGTAGCCTCTAACCTTCTTTACCCAATATTAGAGTAAAACAAAAAGATGCTGTGGCTTCTTAGGGATACAACAAATTACTTTTGGGTCGCTCCTATGTACTGGTTTCGGTTGTTTAAACAACTCTGGAGCTTTTTGCCTGCTGGTGTTGAATTACAAATCCCGGCACTGCGGTGTTAGCTCGGCAACTACATGCCTCTTTTGGCTTTTGAAAACAGGAAAAGCGGACACCCCCACAGCTGGATGAGAATGAAATCTGTTTCAATGTAACATTCCTTCCAACATGATTGACAGATTATCCTGTTCTGGGATTATTTCACTGTAGAATTCCTATATGTTGCTCTTTTAAATGTATTTGATATAGTGAGTGTAGAAATATACTCATATCAAATATGCACTATACTCCTATGCTCAAACATTTCAAACGTACTCAATATACTCAACCTCATTCTTTTCTTAATCCTGTAAATGGATGTATCTCAAATATAGAGTATACATTTTCTAATTTTCTACTAGGAGTTCTGTTTTCCCACATGCTTCTAATGTACCGCAGATTCACTCTCCCTTCCAGAAAACTCAGCTAAGCCAGATTAGTCCCATCTGGAGAATTCTCAAGCATGCTTTGTTATCACCAAGAGACATGCTGTGGCAGAAAAGAGCTGAACAGAAGATGGAGACAGCAAAATAAAAGTCAGTTTGTTTCAGAATAAAAAACTTAACATCCCAAAAAGTGTTACGCAGACGGATCTGCTGGGTTTGGACTTGGACAGCGTTTTCACCATAATTACTTGCTTTTTCACTACGGAAGCTGTGCAGGTCAGAGACCCACTGATGACAAGGTGACAATTAAGCATGCTAACATGTGTTGTTACTGTACAGCTGACAAAACAAATCAGGCTTTCCTTAAAAAAATGTAAAAAATAAAAATTAAAAAAAGAGTCCTGTACGAGACTATTACGAAACCACTCCCACAGTCTGATACTCCTGCAATATTAGCATCCAACCCACCTTCTACTTGCAGACCTAATAAACCAAAATGACGTGACTTACATTCTCAACTACAATAGAAGATTGTTTGATTTAATATGAACAACCATTTTTGTATGTCTGATTTTCCACCATTTTCTTTAGTTTTAAACTCTAATTTTAATTTTATCACAAACTGCAGTTGTACTCTTGCCTGGCCTGCCAGACTCATCCTCTGTTTAATTCTACACAGAGAACTAGTCTGGTTACTCACAGGCAGAGAGACGCATGGGGGTGGGACTAGCCAGCCCAAAAATAACCAATCAAGAAAAAGATGGAAATAGGGAGCCTAAGTCTCCTCCCCTTCCGGTCGGCTCACGGGTCCCCGGAAGAATGAAAAAATGAATGCAAGTCAACGGGGCTAAAAACGCTATTTTCTAATCCGCTTTGCCTTACACTCTGGATCTCACACATGTTGTACTTCAATTTAAATGAAAAGTAAGGATGGGTGTTTCGACCACGCCAGTCTTGTACTTTGAGATTCAGCTTGTAAAAGTTAGTAATTAGCATGACTACAAACTAGAAATGTGACGACGTGTGACGTCACCACACAATCCCCTCTCCCCTAAAGTAGCTGCAACTTACCAAATGACCAGATTTATGGTGGTTCTTTCCTCCTGTGGGAAGTTAGCTGAACTTACAGCCATTTTCCGTCAGTTTTCTCCGTGTCTGGTTCGATGATGTCACTTTCGTGAAGCGCATTTGTTTTCCTGGACTTATTTTCACACAAAACCTAAAATAAGGATTCCCTCTGTTCGAAAAAAATCTTGGTATCAAAATGCTTCTTTAAAATTCACAAACAGCATATGTGTAAACACATGGCACAAAACCAGCAGAATTAGAAAATAGCGTTTTTAGCCCCATTGACTTGCATTCATCTTTTCTTTCATTCTTCCGGGGACCCATGATCCGGAAGTAGATGGGCGTGACTTAGGCTCCCTATGCCGACTGCGTGACACTAGATTTTTAGCTGTAATCAAAAATGGCATCTGGCGACGGCACAATCATCTTTCTTCAGAAGAAAGGTTTGTAGTTCTTTTTGTGGTTTTAAAGACATGTCCAAGTCATTTAGAACAGAGGAAAGAGTCGCAGCAAACGCCACTTCAGATGCCGTCTTCATTGTTTGTGAGAAACTGAGAGTCACAGTGTGTGACATACGCTGCTCAGGGCTGATTGGCTTGGTTTGAATTCTCAGAGGGTGGGGTTATTTGAATGGGAGTTCCTAGACTCAAGGCTTCCCATAAGGAGGCATGAGGATGGCTGGCCAGGCTAGTTGTACTCACCATCCTTCCTATTGATATTCTTGGGACTTGCAGTGTATTTTTACCAACCTCAGTTGGACTCATCTTGCACCCTGCTTCCACTCCAGTGTGTTTACGACTGCCTATTCCCACATAATCAACTTTGGGTCCCGTGGTACCTCAGTCACAATGCATGGCACCAGGCTAGACTCCTATCTCCAGCTACTTCCACATGCTCCTCCTGTAGATCCTCAAGGTGTTTCCAGGCCAGGGTTTTGGTCTTTCCAGCTTGTCCTGGATGTAGCAGCTTGACTCTACACCAGGGGTAGGCAATCCAGGTCCTTGAGTGCTGCTACCGTGCATGCTTTAGTTGTTTTCCTGCTCCAACACCTGTTTTTAATCAGTCTGTGACTAACAAGATTCTGAAACTGGTCAAATGTATTTGGTGTGTTGGAGCGGGGAAACAACTAGAACGTGCTGGATAACAGCACTTGAGTTGCCAACCTCTGCCCTACACAGTTGGGGTGGTTCTCCATTACAACTGAGAAAC